CTGGTTTGGCATTGTTTTGTATGAAAAAAGAATAAAAAGGTGAAAATATCAGTGAAATAATCACTGGGCATTAGGATCCAGGGGATAAAACAGATATTTATTTATTTGTTTAAATAAAAAAATATGCATTTAATAATTATAATTTCTTTATCATTTGAATAACTTAATGAAATATTTAATATCGTAGTGGTGTCTTTATAGATGTTCATGCAATGGTCATGGCGATGGTTAGTGATATCAATTGAAAATCAATTAATCGTTTAGTTGCAATCAATCGATTATTGCGGTTTACCAACCTCCCAGACCTATTATTTGTCAAGACTAATGGATCTTGGGCAACAAAACGATATTTTATCAACAAGCTCAAACAAGCCTTACCATCAGAGGACGTTGCTGGCCACAGTTTTAGGGCTGGGGGGGACAACAGAACTGGTTATACGGGGGTCCAACTTATACTAGTCCAAAAGATAGGTAGATGGAGCTTAGACACATTCTACAGATATATCCAGGCTCACCAAGCCACAATAGCAGCAATACTGATAAAAGTATACAGTAATTGAGCTGTTCTCACATTGCTTCCCATTAATGGCACATCAAATGCCACAATTACAAACAATAATAATAATACAAACAACAATAATAATAATAACAATAATAATGAGAATTTTTATTTTGTTTTCAAAATATACTAAGTCAAGCTCAAATAAACAAACGCATAGTCTCTCAATACCCACGATCGCAATATATCAAAAGAACCAATTGTATCAAATATCAACCACAACAACAAAAAAAAAAAAAAAAAAAGCCAATATGATCCAGTTTTGGCAGCCAAATGTCGATTGTAAGCTCAACTACAGCGCACATAACACAACATACAAAAAAAAAAAAACATTATGAAAAAAAAATATATATATACCTCATCCAAAAAAAAAAAAAAGGAAAAATCAAAATCAACATAGAACAATGACAGAATCCCCAATACTCCAACATTGGAACAGTCTCCTGATTCTGCTATTTTCCTATTTAATAGCCGGCCTGCTTCGAGCAGATGGGAAACCACCGGCTGATGCAGCTTCTCGCTCGTTCTACTTCTCGCTCATTCTACTATTATGATGATACCTGGCGCAATCTTACTTGCTAATTTCTGGGAGTATATCATCATTTCAGTTCGATTTACTTAACTAAAATTACTTAGCTAAAATTACTCATAATGTATTCTGCGGACTTCATGTCCTTTAATTGAATTTATTTCCGGCACCTTTGGCTAGCCAGCATTTATCCAACTACACGACCAGTCATACCAATGCTTTTCGTACATGTTGACAAGGGTTAACAGATCGAAAAGAAAGGGAAGAACTGGCCAGGGGTATACGCCACGTGCTACAACCCGTGCCATCAAATCATGGAGCAAACAGCAGGGATCGAGATCAAAGAATGAATCAATTAATAATCAATTAATCAAATTGCATGAATCAACACGCAACCTCTACGTAATTAAATAAGCCACCGACCAAGATTGATATATAAATAGCTGACAAAGAAAAGTTGATTTCGACACTCTTTTCTACTTCGATACAATAGTCTTTAGCAAACAAATTTCTCGACCTACCTCTCCCTCCGCACAGTGTAGTCTCCTAATTCTGCCATTTTCCTATTTAACAGCCGGCCTGCTTCGAGCAGGCGGGAAACCACCGGCTGATGCTGCTTCTCGCTCATTCTACTTCTCGCTCATTCTACTGTTACGATGATATCTGTCGCAATCTCACTTGCTAATTTTCGGGAGATATCATCGTTTCAGTTCGATTTACTTAGCTAAAATTACTTAGCTAAAATTACTCATAATATATTCTGCGGACTTTATGTCCTTTAATTGAATTTATTTCCGGCACCTTTGGCTAGCCGGCATTTATTCGACTACATGACCAGTTGTACCGATGCTTTTCGAAATTCATAAATTTCATAAATAAAGCTAGGAGTGTTCGGCATGAGCCTATTATTTCCTTAAAAAAGTTACATTGCTAAATTTAAATTTAAAATGCTGTTTAACATATTAATTGATAATTAATGTTAGAGATGATGCTGAAATTCACATGATCACATGATGATTATCTGTATAAACATCTAGCATTACTATCGCCATAGGTGTTAGAGTTAGGGTTAAGGTTTGAAAGGTTTTTTGGTTTTATTTTGCATATATTACATCTAATTCCACTAGGGTAATTGAAATATGGTCATATCCAAACCCTAACCCTAACATTAACAGGAAATTTTTTAGTTGGTGATGATCATGTGATCACGTAAATTTCAGCATCATCCTCGACAATTAATTTTAATTAACATGATTTTTTTTAATTGTTGATGCCATGATATTAAGTGAAATAAAATGTGCAAGAATAAATTCAAAATGATAATATGGCGAGGACTACAATTCTCTTGCTATAATATTCCTATAAAAAAAATCCGGGTATATTTCATAGAGGCACGATTCAGAAGATTAAAAATGACATAAGTAGTATCCTGAGTATTTAATATGTTAATCCTTATAACTTATATAATACCCTTCTTATAATTAGCACCCAGGTAGGTATTATTTAAAAATTGGATTTCTGGAATAATACCTTGGGTGCTGTAGTTAGTGTTATCGAAGTTGAACAAATTGAGCAGAAAGTAATTCGTATATCAACTACATAAACTGCAATTGATTATGTAAATATAAATTTAACTATTTTTGATGAATTTAATATACACTGGCGATCATAAATAATGCAGCAAAAAAAAAAATTTGTTAGATCATATAGGGTGTTATCTATTAAAACAGCCCTTTTTTACATAAATTTTATTTTGAGATAATTGAGTTTAATCATTTGT